GGCTTGGGAGAGGGTGGCCTCCAGGGAAGTGGGGGGTGGAGAGGGAACACGTGCAAACGGCTCAGAGGGCGGGTGCTCCGAGGGGACTGGCCTGGAGGCCCGGCAGAGCCAGGCAGAGGGTGGGCATGGGCTGCGCTGGAAGCGTCCAGCTCGTCGCTCCGTGAGGGAGCCTGCTGGAGTGGCCCCTGGCTGGGCGTTGGGCCGGAGATGGTGAGCGTGGAGGCCCAGCTTGGGGGCTCAGGTCAGCCCCTGCCCCCCACCCCCAGCTCTGCCGACACCCCTATGTGACGCAGTCGACAGGTGTGTGCTCTGCTTCCCTAACCCTTGGGGGTGCTGCTCCAACCAGTCTGAAGTGTGCAGAAAACCTGCGGCCACAGGGCTTACTCAGCCCCGTGTTCTGCGTGGTCCCCAGAGGCCAGCTTGTAGCTGTGCAGGAAGGAGGGCCTGCCTGTCCTCCGGGCCAAGCCTTGTCCGGGTTCCTTGGCAGAAGGGCACCCAAAGGGATATTTTCAGCCTCAGTATTTACCTCCTCTGAAACTTCACCCTGGGTCTGGGTCCTCTTGTCTCCTGTTCTTCAAAGGACGTGTTCGTTACACTTTTGTTAGTGCAGCTGCTGGGAAGTCACAGCTTAGGGCAGGAGTCCTCAACCCAGGAATCCGCAAAGCTTGTCAGCAGAGTGGTTTAAAAGCAGGCTTCCCAGCTTCCTCTTCCCTCCCCAAGCCTCTCCAGCCGGGAGAGCTCAGCTGAGCTGCTCTCCCTCTCGGATGTCCGCTAGGGGACTTCCCTCCTCTGGAGCCTCGGGGATGTTTCGTGTCTCAAGAGACTTGAAGCTGACTTGACTCCAGGTTTCTCCTGGGTGGAGGGGAGGATCCCTCAGGTGAAGCCGAAGGGGCCACAGGGCGGTGATGTGCGCTGAGGGGTCGTTTCCCCACTGGTGTCCGGCTTGGAAAGACAGCCCCGTGCCAGGCCCCCGTGGGTCTGGATGACCTGGAGGGTCTTGGCCCAGGTTCCTCCTGTCAGTCAGGGATGCTGTTGGTCCTGGGGTGGAGCGTGGGCAGGACAGGAGAGCCTGTGGTGTCCACCAGAGAGGATGGGGCTGTGCCTGTTCGCCTGGTCACTGCCCTGGTCTGGTGTGACGCGCAGGGCCGGGGCCCGGTTGGCATTTGCTCTAATTCCAAGGGATCCTGAGAACAGAAGAGCTCTTCTGCCGCTGCAGACTCCTGCTGTCTGCTCTCTGAGTTCATTCCGGTCCCAGCTGACCACCCTGCTCCACCTGCACCCCAGACCTCCGTCTGTTACTTCCTGGTGGGCATAGGGAGAGGCGTCTGGGCAGTGCTGGGCATTGCCCCACTTGGGGTGTGTGATTTGTGGTGCAGAGAAACCAGCTCACCGCCCACGGCCCCCCACACACCCCAGTGCTTTGTGCTTCACTTGTGATTTATAGCTGACTTACAGAACACATCCTCTGGAATTGGATCTCTGTGACCCAGGACTTTGTTGATGGGAACTTTTGATGAGCTTCTTAAGATGTATCTTCATCCCTTTGTGTTGCCTGTCTGTTTAGGAAACTGTTCATTCACAGAGGTGAGTCGGGCAACGAGCGCTTCAGCGAAAGGCGCTCTGGGCCAGGCCAGGACCGGGGGCGGGGAGGGGGGAGAAGGAGGCTTAAGACCAGGTCCTGCATCTTGAGCTCGTGGTCCGGGGCTGAGCACAAGCCCGTGACGTCATGGGCCCCTCTGCGGCCCAACGGGGTGGGCTGCAGAACATCCCCAGAGGCCTGTCCGCTGCCAGGCGGGCAGCTCCGACAGGACAGGTGTGACTGATCTCGGGGACGGAGGTTTGATTCCTGTTACCTGGAAGAGCTCTGGCCCTCGGACACCTCGGTGTTTCCAAATGTTCTCTGACTTGAGCGTTTCTCGTATGTTCCCCTAGTATCTTGTCACAGAGCAGCGGTTGCTAGTAACCTGAGCCGCCTCCTCACAGCCAGGGTTTTCCGCCGTGATTTGTCGAGCTTCCTGGGAAGGGCCGTTTGTTCGAAGGCCACTGCAGCGCTAAGCCTTCTGCTTCTCCCTGCCCTGCCACTCGAGGGCCTTCCCAGCTGTGGGTTACCTGGAGCCACACAAGCGCGTCCTGACCCGAAAGAGGGGCTCACCAGAGCTCTTCCTTGGAGAGGACTGCTCTGGGGTCTTTTTAACTTGTCCTGAAATGTGTTTCAGGCAA